GGATTGTATATGGGAAGTGGTTTCCATGGTGTTGGCGGTGCGTCTAATGGTGGATTGTATATGGGAAGTGGTTTCCATGGTGTTGGCGGTGCGTCTAATGGTGGATTGTATATGGGAAGTGGTTTCCATGGTGTTGGCGGTGCGTCTAATGGTGGATTGTATGTGGGAAGTGGTTTCCATGGTGTTGGCGGTGCGTCTAATGGTGGATTGTATATGGGAAGTGGTTTCCATGGTGTTGGCGGTGTGTCTAATGGTGGATTGTATATGGAAAGTGGTTTTCATGGTGTTGGCTGTGTGTCTAATGGTGGATTGTATATGGAAAGTGGTTTTCATGGTGTTGGTGGTGCGTCTAATGGTGGATTGTATATGGGAAGTGGTTTCCATGGTGTTGGTGGTGCGTCTAATGGTGGATTGTATATGGGAAGTGGTTTCCATGTTGTTGGCATGGCAAGGTTGTGCGAGTTTCTATGACTTTCTAGTCATATGTTCTTTTTTCATTCAGCCAGAACCCTGGAGGCCATTGTGAATGCCCTCGCCATGTCTGGCGACACAGAAGAGGTGACCCGCCTGAGGAAGCCCCGCTTTTCCTATGAGGAGAATCAGATCCTGATCCGGGAAGTGCGTGCCCACTACTCCATGCTGTATGGGGCACAGGCACGCCGGCTGAGCGTGGCAGAGAGACGGCGCGTGTGGGAGGGCATTGCCGCCAAAATTAACGCCATTACGAACTGGAAACGCACAGCTCAGGAAGTTCAAAAACGCTGGAATGACTTCAAGAGACGGACCAAGGAGAAGCTGGCGCGGGTTCCCCATTCCACCCAGAACGGCACAGCCGAGGAGGTTCTGACCGCAGAAGAAGAAACTATATTTGCTATCCTGGGACCCGGAGTGGTACCCGGCCGGGAGGCCTATATTCCAGGGACACGGCCCATGGGTAAGTGCTGCACCGTCGCTGTACCATTGGTGAGTGATGATGAATGGCAGAATTATTGGCCCCCTTCACTCCCCCCGTTCAGTTGCCATGGGGCATTTAGGACATTTATCCAGGATGGTGCACAGTATTCGCTTCAGACACCTCTACCAGTCAATAGCATTGCTTGTAACAGATCATTCTAAGCTCATCTTTATCTTGGCTTCAAGTTGTCCTTTA